CCAGGCATCCCTGTATAATTAAAGTTTTCCAGGTTATTTCAACGGGCATCTGAGTTCGAGTACTGCTGCTCAAGAGGTCCTGTTTGCTCTTTCAAGCTTCAGCCTTCCTCCTACTTTCTACCCTCCGATGCCTGAAAGAAAGAAGAAAACTGCATCACAGGCTGCTCTGCAGAACAATACTGTGATGATCCTTTTCTAGCCAGGTAGTGTCTGAAGCAGCAGCATCATGTATCAGGAGGCAGGAGTTAACCAAGCAGCAACCACACCCTCTCAAGAGCGTACGAGGTTAGGAAAGGCCAACAAGATGTCCTTACTCAGTGTCCCAAAACTGACAGAGGCAATGGGGACTTCTTGCAGGAGGGTTGAACTTTGCCCCCACTTCCCCTGGAAGGTTCAGTCATCTTTTCTTCCACTCTAGCAATTCCCAAGGACAACCGTGGAGATGAAGAGTTCATAATCTGAGAACACACAGGGGCCACCTGTGTCCACACCTGCAAAGGACATTTCTTTGAATCCAGTCAAAAGTCAGAGGCCAACCCAATTCATCCTTCATAATTGTCTCTCTGCACAGGGTTTTTTGTTTTCATTTGTTGCTTGTTTTTGCCCTGGAACCAGGGGCATTAGCAGTTTTTAGGTAAATCATTTTATGGCAAATTTGAAATAAACATTTCTGATTTTAATTGCAGTAATATTTGCTAATTCTAGTCTGTTCTTACTCTGACAGGTACCCTGTTAAGCCCCTTACATATGCTGCCATATTCAACATGCCTTTCCCACTTCCTGCTTAAATTTTCTCCATTGTTAGCACTTATTGACATCAAACATATTATTTACTGTATTTATCTCGTTTATTGTATGTCTCTATCCTTAGACTGCAGAAGAAATCAGAGTAGAAATCTTAGCCTTTTTTTGTATCTAAAATACAGCCTGCGCATAAGAGGTGATCAGTAAATATTTGTTGAATGAATGATTAATAATTTCATCCTCACAACAACCCTATGAGAGTGGTACATCATTAGGCCCATTTTACACAGGATGAAACTGAGGCACTGGAAGTTAAGTACCCAATTAGAAAGCAGCAAAGACGATTTCAAGCCCAAGCAGCTGCCTCTCAGTCCCAATCATCTGGCTATTACTTTATATTGGTTCTTGCTCATCAGCCACACTCTTAAAAGCAACTCCGCATCAGCCCTGACAGCCTAGCAGTTAAAGACTGGCACGCTTCACTTTGGTGGCCCAGGTTTGGTTCATGGTCACAGAACCACACCATTTGTCTGTCAGTAGCCATGCTGTGGCAGCAGCTCACAGAGAACTAGAAGGACTTAGAACTAGAATACACAACTAGGTACTGGGGCTTTGGAGAGGAAAACAAAAGGAGGAAGATTGGCAACAGATGTCGGGAAGGGCAAATCTTCCCCTGCAAAAAAATGAATAAAATAAAATAAAGCAATTCCCTAAAGGCAGCACTGTGGGAAGAAGACAGCTATGGGTCTGAACATTGCCTCTGACAGTTCCTAACTGGGTGTTTTCCAGCAGGTAATATCCCTCTCTGAGCTTTAAGCTCATATGTGAAACAGGAACAAGTCCCTCTGGTGACTCGTGTGGATGCAGATACTCGCCCATCCTTTTACAGCCACCCTATTCTTTGCTCCTGGCAGGTCCTCGGACAAAGGAAAGGGCACATGAAATTTGGGGATGAGACAGGTGTTTCAGGAGACACAAGTTTACTCATCTCCACATTTGGGGACATTTTCATGCAAGGGTGAAAGAAGTGCCCTTTTGGTCCTTAAAAAAGCTGTTTCTATCTATCTACTCTTACTGTGCATAGTTGTGTCTAGACATCTGTGTAATTTGAGAGATGACTTACGCCTCTGCTGAAAGTATCTATGAAAAGAAAACTGACTAATAACTCATTTGTTACCAATAAAAGATTTAAAAAAATTTTTTAAAAGAAATACTTGTTGCTGTATGTTTTTTTAATCCACTGACTTGCTTTTATGAATGTGAATTTAAAAATTATTATTTGCTATGAGAAACAATATGTAGCTCCATGGATATGAGGTGTGACATTGAACATTCTATTTTTTTAATAACAGCTTTGTTGAGATATGATTCATATACCATAAAATTCACTTTTGAAGCACGTAATTCATTGGTTTTTAATATATTCATATAATTATGCAGCCATCACCACTGTCTAATTTCAGAATATTTTCATCGCCCCAAAAAGAAATCTTGGTCTCATTTGCAGTCATTCCCCATTCCGCCCTCTCCCCTCAGCCCATAGCAACTGCTAATTTCCTTTCTGTTTCTATAGATTTGCATATTTTGGAGATTTCATGCATGTAGAATCATACAGTATGTGATCTTTTGTGTCTGGCTTCTTTCACTCAGTATGTTTTCAAGATTCATCCATCTTGTGGCATATATCACTATTTCATTCCTTTTTATTGCTGTATAATATTCTGTTGTAAGGATATACTGAATTTTATTTATCCATTCGTTAGTTTATGGACATTTTCATTGTTTTCCACTTTTTTCTTATTATGAGTAATAAATGAACATTTACATACAAGTTTTTATGTCGAAATATGTTTTCCATTATCTTGAGTATATACCTAGACTGGAATTCCTGGGTCACATAGTAATTCTATATTTAACAGTATTTTTCATTTTGGTACAATGGGCATTCTAAAAATTAAATCCATTAAGTAATTGGAGTGGCAGGATAAGAGGTGAGTCCCCAAATCAGACACTTTATTTTTATCATACAATTCTACCTTCACAGTTGCTCTGAGATAGACATCCATATTCCTATGTTACAGAGGAGGAAACTTAATCTTAGAGAGGCAAGTGATTTGCCCATTGCCCCACAGCTATAAACGGGAGAGCAGCAATTTAATCCAAGTCTGTGAGACTTCAAATATTTCTATTATTATGTTGCTTATTATAAAATAGTACATACTGCTTTTTGTTTTTTCGTTTTTTTTTTTTTTTTTTTTTTTTTTGCTGCTTCATTTTTATCTGCCTCCATTAGACAAATTTAGAGTTTTTAGAATTTGGAACTTTTAAGGAATGTTTCTCTTACTAAAAAGAAATGTGAAGTCATGGTCTGGGCAGTCCATCTCTTCCGTGATTTATGTAATCGGGCATCCATGCCAGACAGCAAACATTTCTTAAAATCAAAACACTGATAAATAATATATATCAATGGCTAATTAATAATATATTCCAGTAGATAATAAATATGTCAATATATACTAAGTAATATATGCCAATTTGTTTTTGAAACATAAACTTTGTTACCAAATACACTAGAATGCAATTTATACTCTAGAGAGCTGCTTTCTCTGCAACTCAGTGTTTTACTTTGATATTCACTCAAATTCTCCAAAATAAATGTTGACATTTACCAGAGTTCTTTTCCCACAAATGAAAATAGTTGGTACGCTGAAACAGTAAAAGCTATTTTTAATGGTTTAGAAATAGCCTTAAGGTCTGCTTACATTAATAAAGATTACTGATTTCCACAGAGCATACAACATTATTTTATCTGACAGTCACCTCCATATTACTGCTCACATTTGTGCAGTGGAATGCCTCAAATAAAGCACTACTTTAATAATTTTTTTAAAAAAACAAAAGTGATGATGTTAAAATTGATGCGTAGTGACTACGAAAAAACTTGACTTGGGTCAGCCAAAGTAACAACTAGCTAACAATATCCATTAATTTCATACTCAGTACCATTCATTGGAATATTCCTGCAAATAAAAATATGCACATATATCAATGCATAAATAAGCATATTAGTAAAAACTTTTTAAACAACATAAAAGAATAAAGATAATGATTATGGTAAATTATAGAGTTATATTTGAAATACAGAATGGTACTCTTAGCAATTGTTTGTATTAAGTATTCCAGGAAAAAATTTCCAAGGCAACGTGGTTGGTGAGATATACTAAAATCATGTTGAGAAAATATGTGGCTTTGTGTTTTCTCTCTTAGAAATGCCAGTTAGAAGTAGATAGACTGAGTGTTGGGAACAATGAGAGAGATGAAGTAAAAAAAAATAAATCACTGCTGATTCATAACCTGGATAACCCATCCAATAATAATTTTTTGAATACGTTAAAACTATTTCTTTATAGACCAATTTCTTTGAATCTGCTTTGTTGTAAGAAACCATTCTGGGTTCCATGTAGTTCATTCATTCACTCACTCATGTAACAAAATTTTTATTGAGTGCCTACTTTGTACCAAGAATTGTGCTAATGATGATCAACGCAGATGTAATCCCTGCCCTCTGGGACCTTATTGTCTGTTAGGGAAATTTGTACAAAGCACAAAACTAATGGAGGGCCGAACACTTCCTCCTTCTCCATGACTCTTGGAAGAGTAGTCCCTTATATCTCCAATTTTGAAAGCTCTTCGCAAAATTTCAATCATCCCTCTACATAAGATTTTATTCTTTCAAATAAATTTATTTATTCTGCCAAGTAGTAATTAATTAAAGGATGAATTACCTAGTAAAATATTCTATAATAATAGAGGAATATTAAAATATGCATTAATTAGAATATATCTTTCCAAAGAAAAAAACAACCTGTGCAAGGCTTGCTTACTAGGTGTCTTCTTTCACATAGAAAGAACCCCAAGAATAACAACTGAGTCAAGAGGAACCAAAGTGATAAATGGATGGACAACATCAGGAGCAGGTGACCGAGCAGAGTGCAGAGCCTGGAAGGGCAAAGATGGAAGGTGAAGGAACAAACTCTTCTACAATTCATCATTCTTACCACAGGCACTTTCACACACTGCCACTTTCTAAACCCCCATCACATGGGTGGATCCAACTATCTATGTGATTCTTCTCTTAGAATCGAAGACTTCTAGAGTATGCAGGAATCATAGAGGTCTCCCCAATACCTATCTACCAAGGCCACTTTATTGACCAAAATAGAAAATTAAGACACGAAAGAACATAGTATTTCCTATAATTTAATTATTTCATATTCTTCTTTCTGTAACTCTATGTGCATAACTAGACTATCTATTTTATTACTGATTTGATGAAAACTTTGGCATTTATAAATTATTATCTGAGAGAGCACCAAGGCATGTCTGGTTTCTTTCCTTCGGTAATTTTGCCTGCTTCCGTTTGATGGAGGCATATTTATCTCAGGTTTCTGCTTCTTGCCCTCTGCAATGAATGACATTTCTTTCAGACATTTCCATTTCCAGATGTGATATTAGGTAGCTTCTGTAACACAGAGAAAAAAATCAAAGAAAGGAAAGCCTCACATAGGAGTGTTCTTTTAAACACATATCTTTTTTAGCGATAATTTTGGAAAGACATCTCTTACAGTCTTTTTCATACGCACACACTTTTAATTTATAGGATGTTTTAAATTACATGTGCAAACAGCCTGCAGTGAATCTTTTTGACATAACAGATCATGGGCTAAGAGGAGGCTGGTGAGTCTCTACTAACAGTGTTATGTAAAGTGAAGAGATATGAATATTTTCATCGCTCAATAGGTATCACTTTTTAAGAATATGATTTTCCCTGGGTCTCAGGAATATTATCTTTTCATCAGCCTTAGTCATGCTCACCAAGTTAGGGGCAAATATATGAAATAACCCCCAACTTTTGTTTCCATTGCTCATAAATCATTAATTTCTATTTTGGGCTAATATCTTTTGCATGTCAAGTGTCTTCTCTCTTCTTCTAGCTCTTTCTTCAGTGAAAAGAATTTCACTCCATAGGGCAGTGGCTAAGAAAACTACACATGGAGTGGAAAGACTATAGAGTGGAGTGCTGAATTTGTACTAAATTATTTAAATATGAGTTACTGTGGCTTCGTTTCAAGCAAATTCTGTGCAACACCCATGTAGGATGATTTGTAGGGGAAAAAAAGTTCCAAAGTCAAGTAACTTTGGAAAAATCTCTGTATTTTCTTAGAGAGTAGAGTGCTAAGATTTAGGGAATAAAAATACAGAACATTCAGTTAAGTTTGAATTTCAGATAAACAACAGATAACTTTTTAGTATAAGCGTGTCCCAAATACTGCACGGGACAACATTTGGCTCTTTGGAAGAGTGTGTAGCTGATCCAATCGTAGTCTCTTAAATTGGGCAAGTGATGTAGGCCTGACCATCTAGGATATTTCTTCCTCCTGGCAATGGTGATTAACTCAGGAAACGGCTACCAGCCTTGGACTTCTGTTGGCACTATTTTGAAAGAGGCACCATTTCCCTTGGAGTTGCTATAGGATGGGATCTGAGGCCAGAGGTACTGGCAGCCATTTTATCTCCCTCTCTTTTGGAGAGCCTTCCTGCGAATGAAGCCAGCCCAGATGAAGTTGAGCCAAAGGAAGGAGCAGGAAAGAATCCAGTGACATCACTGAAACACTTGGATCTGGCTGTGGCTGGGGCCAATATTGAAGTTAATAAATTAACCCCTTCCTCTTTCTTTCTTTTTCCTTCTCTTTCTTTCTTTTTAGCTTTCTTTCTTTTTTTTCTTAGGCCACTTTGAATTAGGTTGTCACTTGCAACCTGAAGACTCCTAACGTCCACTTAAAAAGAGTTTAGAGTTGGATTATTGAAGGTATTTAATTTCAGGGTAAGACTTGAGCATTTTAGTCTGTCCTCTGTCATTGAATATTTCTGAGCAAGGGAGAAATGGGATTAGAGATGCGACGTAGGAAGGCTAACGTGGGGAAGGGTTAATGAAGAGAAGGTTTAAGAACCGAGTGTACGGGTCAGGAGACTGTCACAAAGTCTTTGGCAAGCAGGGCTGCGACAGTAAGCTGGGGCATTAGACACAGCGTGGTTACAAGAGACTACAGAAAGAACTAAGATGAGATAGCTGATTAAACGATGGTGGGCGAGGGACAATTTATTATTCAATATATAAGTTTTACTAAACTTCTAGGGAGGTACAACTTATTATCAGGGTAGATCTTGAATTGGCTTCCCTAGTGATATAAAGAATATTTTTAAAAACTATAATCTGGAGGAACGAAAGGGGCAGAATAGACCACTTGTAGAAATTCACTGCAGCTTTGTGGTTCTATCAGTTGATTATTATGAGATGATGATAGTCATGGCCAGAAGCTGAGAGACTTCCTCTTTAGACTTAGGTTCTATTTATGTTGCTGAATAAACATCCATTTTTAAAAGCACAGCCATTAATAATTTGCCCATTTGTACATTTTCCCAAACCACCATGTTTTCCCAGTCTAAGGGCTATCATGTATGGCAGTCACTGTTAAGCTTTTAATGGCCATTTATTTATTTCTGCAATATGTTCATTGAATGTTTTCATTGAACATCCAGACATTTATTAGTCATTTGTTTACCGCTCCACAAATTTATGGAACTGTTAAATGCACCATCTTGGGGAGCTGTCAGAGAAGAGTTATAGTGCAGAGGAGCATATTGTTTGGAATTTGTTAGAAGCTCATCCCAATACTATTAATTCTGTTTATTAGAGAACTGAGATGATTCAAGTAATCTCACAGAGACATAAAAATCTGACTTGAAAAACATACTTCCCTTCAAATTGAGAGGCTATCGCTCTGAGGGAAAAAAGGCTTGGAGGAAGGTGGTTGTCTGTTGTAGGGACCCATTTGGAAGATGAACAAATAGCTAAATAACTGAGAGTTTAATAACACACAAGACTCTAGGTACATTATTCTCTTCGGGTCCATGTTTCAGAATGGCCAGTGAAAGATCTTTCAATAATTCAGTAATAATTGTTTCTTAGATGGGTTCTAGAAGCCCCTTTATACTGAAACTTTTTTCTTAGCATTTGCAGGACATTTTTGAGCTCTTTCTCTGATATCCCTAATAAATAAAACATGGTCTTTTGGAAGCAAGCCAAAGAAATAAAGTTACAGACTTTTTAAGTGAGTCATATTTGTATTTGAATCCTATCTCTGACTCTTCACTGCTGTGCAGGCTTAGATAAGTGCCTCAAACTCTCTGAGCCTCAGAAGTCTTATCTGTATGATGGGGGTAATAATACTTTTTACTCCACATGGATGCTAGAAAAACTGATATAGGGCACGTAAAATGTGCATTTAGAACAAGATCTACCACAGTAAGGACTTGAGGGAATACCAGGTGTTAGTTTCATTATTGTTCTCATTATTTCTCTCTAATAGTATCTTATCAGAGTGATGCCTTTGGGTTGGTGATCTGTGCACTGCTTCGATTGACTTAATGTCTGATACCTACATAGCATTAAAAGATATTTTTTGAGACCGTAGTTAGAGCATATAACAATTAAACTGAATTTCTGCTTTTATAGTTAAGATCAAGTTCCTGTTCTTAATTTAAATCCTAAAGTGGGCTTTCTCCTCTGTGTTCCCAAGTACTGTGTTTTAAGGCAGCATGCAAAGAAAGCCTATAGGATTTAAATGGGGGCATCCCTGCCTGCCCACTCAAGGCCTCTAGGTGGAATCTGGAATGTTAGTAAACTTTCCCTCTTGGTCGAGCTCCAGCCCTCACAGCTGAGCAAGGACTGAGAATTGCTGCCTCCTGCATATTCTTCCCTCCCACTGTCCTTCTGTTCATTGAAGACAATCTCTCGCTCTTTCTACTAAACAGAAAGCCATTGAGTCCTAACTCAAGAATGAGCTAACACCTTTTGATTATAACGGCACATCCAGAGTCTTTTAAGATGAGGAAGACGAATTGAAATAAAAGGATGATAGGGACTAAATGGGGTCATCAGTTGATGTTACCATCTGGCAAATTGGGCCAAATGGCCTCTGTTCAGCATTTCAACTCATTCAACTACATATAGTGCGAACTCCAAGACTTTTATTCCAACAAGAAACCATCTGTAGCATGAAGCATGAATCAGTCCTGAATCTTAATTGGGCATCAGAATTATCTGTGATCCTTTTGAAAAATATAACTGCCACCTCTAAAATCAATAAGTCTAATAGGTCTGAAATGCAGCCCAAGAGCTTGTTTGTGTCTTGTTTTTAAATTTCCACAGATCATTCTGTTGAGAGCTAGGACTGAGAACTAGTGAATCATGAGGAAGCTTGTGGGTGAGGTGCTAACAGAGGGTGGCTAATTATCTCACAAACGAGCCAACCCTAAAAACAAGATTTAGGGAGTGAGGGAGCTGATACACATGAGTATGGAGGGTTTGCCAACAACGCATAAGAAAATTGGAGTCCCTTTTGAAGAATTTCACTAAAATATTTACTCCTGCCCTTCAAATAGTGTGACCATTTCTAAACCACTTGAAGTTACGTAGCCAAAATGACACTTTGGCCTCTCTTCACTTGGCAATCCTCCTTATCAGGTCTGATAGCTAAAGGCATGGCTGGGCAAGAGAAAGTGGTTCTATAATAAAGGGAGTTTTTTTGTGACTCAAATTATCTATGTTCATCATAAACAACCTCAGAATCGACTACGTTTTGAGTATGAATGCAATTGGACCAAAGTTCAAATACCATCTCTGCGTCTCCTCACCTACAAAATAGGATTAATAATATTTACTTTTTAGGTATGCTATAAGGCTAAGAGATAAAGTTTGCTGAATATCTATTAATATAAAGCTCTATTGTTATTATCCAGGAATCCTGAATATAGTTCGCTTTGTTTTTAGTAGAGGATAACTACTTTTATTATCACTAAAACTAGGTAAGCACAGAGAACCGGGTACTAGGAAAAGGTGCTAGGTACTGGCGTTGTTACTAGATGAAAGCCTGGAAGGTAAGGTACAGGAAGCCACCTAAACCCGCCCAGTGACGTCCCCTTCCATGGGAGAATCTTTCTCAATGAGGGCAAAGCAGCATTCATTCTGACAACGATTGACACCAGTGATTTCTTTAAACTTGATCAGAAGCTCTGGACATATTGGAGACATCACTTTTTAATGTCCCAACATTTGTGTCTCAGTTTTTCATTTTACATATTAAAATCTCAACCGGGAAATAAAATAAGCATGTTTAGGAAGACTCCTCAGCATTTTCCAATAGAATAGTCAGAAAGAACTTACCTTCTAGTTATGAACACAAACAGAAATGAATTTGATAGGAACTCATGTAAACATTCATTCTACATTTCACTTTGTAATGCTGTGTTTAGGGACAAGCACTCACGAGCACATTAAACTGACCTTTTCTATTTTGTGTTTTAGAAAATAAAGGTGCTACCTACCATGAATTTGGTGATTAGATGTCTCAGTTTGCTTGAGACTAAGAAGGTTCCTGGGATGCTGGATTTTTCAGATTTAAAACCAAGACAATCCTGGGCAAACCGTGACGCCCTGTTTGGTTGGTCATGTTTCATTTTAAGGTCATGCACACTGGAGCCTCTCCCACAGAGTGTAACATAACAGCTAGACCCATAATTAGGACCTAGCAACAATGTGTGGAACTGCTGTCCATATTCCATCTCTCACCCCAACCATGTGCCGAGGCTAGCTTTGAAAGACCAGGAATATCACCAAACGAAACAATCTAAGAAGCCTATATATTGACTTATCACTGACAATCATTTGTACTTGAATATTCATGAAAATTGTTACACAATACCTACATATTCAAAGATACTATTAGGTGTGGAAGTGCCTTGAAAACTACTAAGCCTATATAAACATTCTATATTGTTATGGATACCACTGAAGAATAAAGGAACTTGTCTACTGTGAGCATTATAGTTTCTTATTATTTAGCAAGTATCTATAGTGAACTAGGTGTTATTTACCATCCAAAGTATATGTTGATGCAGAAGTCATCTGTTTCCAATGTGACAGGGATCAGCTGTTTAAGAAAAGTCCTGCAACGGACTTTTCTATCAGTATCTACAAAGAGAAAATTTCGCAGAGAAAGGATAAGAGCTATTGAAATGAGTTTCCTTCTAATAGTTGAAGTGAAAGTGAAAAAGACATAACAAAGCCCAGATGTTCCTGGAGCAGTGATGGGAGGGTTAACTTTATTATGGATTTCATAGCACTGGGAAGTGTCAATTGATTAAGAGAGTTTGCAGTTCTGAGTGTTTTAGCCAGCCACCCATCTGTTTCACAGAAGTTTGTTAACACAGCTGGAAAGGATGGAGTTGCCAAAGCTTTCTTAAGCCTTTCAAGTCTCATCTTCTTCTTCTTTTTTTTTTCCCCCAGTAAAAGAGCTAAAACAATTAGAATGCCTTCTCCAAGGAACTAAGGAAGGGAGGAAAAAAAAGACTTTTCTTCTCTATTCTTTTGCCATGGCTGGATATTATCCATATTTGTGGCATTAAAATATAGATGCAATTATAGTTTCTAGCAGTCCTGAATATGCCTGTTACTCTTTTTTTAAAAAATGAATTATCTCCTGGTGTTTAAGTGTATATCATCACAATTTAGCCCGAGGTCGCAACCCTCACTCAAAAACTGTTTCTGTGATTGAATCTTCCCAGCCCAGGCTCAGTTTTCAGATTAGAGCTCTTATACATTGATTGGTGTTAAGCCAGTCATAGCCCTAACACGATGATGATCAGGAAAGCATATTCTGCCAATTCAAGTTCAGGGCTGTATTCATTATCCTTTAAATTCCAATTAAAAACTGCTGCGCTCCCTAAACATTACTAAGCATGATGACAAAGGGCAGGGTTGCTGACTGCTTGCCAATGTGTTCCCTGGTTGTTTTTAAAACAATTTGCTTGAACCCAGGAATCAGGCAGACAAGGGCTATCATCCATGGACTATCCTTTAACGCCAAGCATAATGGAGTTCTATGTTTATATCTTCTCATTTAATTGTGTGCTGACAATCATATTCTAACTGAGCTATTGCTTTATAGATGAAGAAATTGGAACTTAGAAAGTTCAAGTAAATTGGCAAAAGTCATAGAACTAACGTGTGCCAGTCAAGTGTAGAGGGTTGCAAAATCTCTTTCTTTCCTACTTTATCAACTTCTTGACCAAAATACAAGAGTTCCCACTTAGGTTTTATGGCCTTTTACATGTGATAAAGGATATTAAACACAACTTCTCTACTTTGAAGTTTAAATGATTGTGGAGTTGGAGCATACTTAAACTCTTTGTCTTTCAATGTCTCTATTAGAAGAATATGATTTACTAATAATTGTATTTTTGATACTCAAATTTTTTTCTGAGGAAGATTAGCCCTGAGCTAACTACAGCCAATTCTCCTCTTTTTGCTGAGGAACACTGGCCCTGAGCTAGCATCCGTGCCTATCTTCCTCTACTTTATACGTGGGACGCCTACCACAGCATGGCTTTTGCCAAGTGGTGCCATGTCGGCACCCTGGATCCGAACCAGTGAATCCCGGGCCATCAAGAAGTGGAACATGTGAACTTAACCACTGCGCCACTGGGCCAGCCCCTTAAATTATTTTTTTGGTGAGGAAGATTTGCCCTGAGCTAACATCCACTGCCAATCTTCCTCTTTTTTTTTTTGCTTGACGAAGATTAGCCCTGAACTAATATCTGTGCCATCCTTGTCTATTTTGCATGTGGTGTGCTTCCACAGCATGACTGATGAGTGGAGTCAGGCCATGTCTGGGATCCAAACTCACGAACCCAGGCCGCTGAAGTAGAGAATGCGGAGCTTAAACCAGTAAGCCTTGGGGTCGGCTCCTCCAATTTTTATTTTCATTCATTTAAAAGGATGTATTACGGGCCTGTTATCGCCAGGCACAAAGTCTAGTGCTGAAATACCAGCGCTCGATACAACTGACAAGACCTCTGCCCTCAGAAAGCATGAACTTTAGTAAAATGGTTCTCGAACTTTAGTGTCAATAAAAAAATACCTGTGGCCAACTTCCTGTACTCATGATTCTAAAAGTCTGGGATAGTGTCCAGGAGTCTGCATTTTAATAAGTCTTTCAGGTGATCTTTAGGTGAAGAGGGCTTCTCAGAGCAACACTGGGAGCGAGGGAGACTTTAAACAAACAGGTGACAAATTGTAATCACAGATTGTGTTAAGTACCTTGTCAGAACAGAACAGCATGATATGAAAGAGACATTGAACTTGCACTGGGGATCAGAGGAGGGAAACGATTTTCATCAGAGAAGGTTGCAATCAGCCAGATAGGGCCAGGAAGGGAGAAAGAAGGCAGACAGAGCAACAAAGGATAATAAAATGACTACAGGTAGTCTACAAAAATCTGAGTTGCTTCTTTGGAGATAAAATTGTTCTCTCTGATTTGTGCAAAGAAATTAAGCTTTGCACAATGAGGAAGCTGTAATTTTCACCAGTATCAGAACACAAGGATTAAGTTATCTAAGTCATAGGCTATGCACGGACTTGCTTGCATCCCTCAATGAGGCCACAGCTCCAGAATCTGACTTCAGCTCTTCCCAAATAATTTGGAACAATATCAAAAGGCAAGAGAACTCAGTGTAATCTACCAAGCTCCATCCATTCTCCTTGTTTTGATGTGTTAGGGAACTTTCCTGATAACTACTTCCTGTGAGAGGAATTGGCTGATCTTCAAGTTTCTATTATGAAACATCTAAGAGGCCATAAACTCAATGCTTAAGCACCCAGGTGTGGGGTGAGCTCTCAGACGCACAACAAGTAAGATTGTGTGGCCCCCATGAATATGATCATTTTGTGCAGCTCAGCATGGCAGGGGGAGTTCTATGCTCTGTGGAAGACCAGTCTCTACAATATAATCAGTTCCTCTGAGGCTCCAGCCAGGCTGTGTGACCACACAGTGGGATGTTGTCAGAGGCCTCAGTTGGCTCACTATGCCCGTGGGCTCTGCACACCCCTAATATAGAGTTCATTGTGTCATGATGGTACTGTCCAGCTGAAAGCATCATTTGTGCAGTGTAGAAATGATGGGCCTTCACAGCTAAGCCTCCACAGTAGGTAGCTTCTGGATGCTCGGGACAAATTTTGAATCCTAGATACTTGGTGGAAACAGGTAATTAGATTAACTTTATAGATCGGTAAATTCTCCCCTGCCCCAAGGGAAAAAAAATCCCAAAAAAACCAAATACTTTCTTTTCTTTCCTTCCCTCCTTCCCTCCATCCTGTTTTTATGCTTCACTTAAGGTAACATTCACAGAGCACCTACTATGTGCCAGGTACCTTGCTAGCCAATGGGGAAACGGAAATCGCAGCATCCCAGTTTGTTACCTTCGAAATCTAGTGAGTGAAACAGATGTGTAGGCTATTCATTGCAGTAAAATGATATAAATGCTATAGAACTGTTATATCTCCAATTAAGTATTAACTATATGTCAAGCACTATTTAAATGTTTTACGGTAATGACCCATTTAATCCTCACAAGTCCTAAAAGACAGTCAGGATAGATATACCCATTTTGCAGAATAGGAAACTGAGGTACAACAGGGAAAGAACGTTGGCTGAGTACATATTTAAACCCAGGAGTTTGATTCTAGAGCCAACACTTGATCCCCTTTGATGTCCTCCTGCTAGAATGTAGAAGGCAGGCAGAGGAGGAAGGTGTTTATGCTACTGGGGGTTAGTGAAAGCTTCAAAGAGTTGTTTTGGATCATTTGAACATCAACTACTAGATTTGGGGTTGTGGTGGGGGGATGTGGGGTGGTGTTATGAAGATGAATAAGTGAGCCTTCATGATTTCAAGGAACATATAGTAGAGCGGGAGTGACAAAGTTCAAAAAAGACAACTTCCCTATTATGTAAATTCTAGGTCTCACTACAGAAGACAGTGTGGAGGAGAGACATTTCCTCCCAGAACTCCTTTTTATTATGGAGGAAAATCTTTAAATTGTCTCCTCCCCACACGCCCTCTGCCCTCCTCCTCCACCCCTCTCCCCCTGCCCCAAGCCTTCCCCTTAGCTTTTATTGACCAATATTGGGCCACACTGCATTCATCAAAACAATCACTAATCTAATCAATGGAGTGAACCGTGATTGGATTAGGATGATCGGGGTTCAGTTCAACCCTGGGGTAGGGAAGGCTCACCGACCTGAGTACCAGGGAGATTAGCTACCCGATCTGCACTGGCTTTCTGCCAGCAAGGAAGAAAACAGCGTGTAAGGCTATTTGGTAACCAATGGGACTGTCACATTGAAACTCTGATATGGGTAAAACAATCTTGTTTATGACCCAGTGTAAAAATGGTTAGTGATGCTGAAAATCGCTGGGGAACCCCCGGACTGTATTAAGAGTTTCATTTATTTTATAGTTCATAGGATAAAAGGCAGAATGAAAGGGTATTACTAAGCGAAGGGAGCAATATAAAAATGACAATAAAATGTATACATATATATGCTAATATATATATATATACACTTTATATATAAAGCATTTATAATACATGCGTTACTTTAGTTAATCCACACCATTCCTACAAGCTAGGTAATATTATTATCCCATTTTACAGACCAGCAAACCTAGGCACAGTGAGGTTAAACAACTTGCGCAAAGTTCCAGAGCACAGAAGAAGTAGAGCATATATTAGAATAGTTAGTCATTGCGCTGTATGATACCACTGAGAAACACGCCAATGCCTCTGCTTAAACGATATGCAAATAGCCAGGGACTCCAGTCATTTACTAGTTAAAGCTAAATTCATCTTATTTTTGACCATAGTCAAATTTCATTTACATATTCTTACAAGGGTTGCTAAGCACATTTGCTGAAAAATAAGTTAAGATTTTGTCTTAACTTAAGATTTTGTCTAAAATAAGGTTCGAAGTCAAAGCTGTGGCACTGCATTTCAGGGCTTACTCCTTCCTTGACAGTTTTTATAATTTCACCTAAGACCAAGATTCAACCTGGGTGAAAGGGTTCTTTACGCTCATTTTGCCTCTCAGAAGGGGAGGAGGGCAAATGGGCAGGCATGGTTTTGGAATGTGGGGA